TAAAACTCTTGATTGAAATGAAACATTTTCTGTTAATTCTGTTTTGTAGCTAAGTAAAAATACTGACAACTGAAGACAAGCATGAACAGTCTCCAGCAGAGACACTACTGACTTCTCACTGTGAAAAATCTAAACTCTGCAGTTTTGTTAATTCTCACAGGCATATGAACGTGGAAACACACACAGACAGAGCTCTGTGAAAAAGCTGGAAGACAACAACAAAATTAAATCTGTCATCACAAACTATGCTAGTTCATTCCTAACCCATTCATGAGTAACAGAAGAAAAACAAACAAAACAAATCCTAGTTTGATTACACAACTATCATTTTTGCCAGAGCTCTATAATAAAGCAGCTTCAAAGGTCAGGCATACAAATTACGCTTTCAGAGAAGGATCCTATATAAAGATATTAGTTTTGAAAAGATTAATTCATCTCACAGATTGCTAGATCTCCATTAAATACATAACTCGTATGCTGGAAATAAACATAAGAGTTCAGCTTCCTTTGCATGACTACATTTGAATCTTTCTCAAGAATACAGGTTCCATTTTAGAAACATTTTTAAGCTTTGTTTAACTCTGTGGTGACAGAACAAGAGAGTGTTCATGTTAAAGCAGTTAAATTTTCTGGCTTCCTTAGATCACAGACTGGCACATCTAAGCTGGAAGTCTGAGAACGATGAGTGTGAAACCTCGGGGGAAAAGCAAGGAGATGAGAAGCGATCCTCACATGAGTACCCACTGCTCAGAACTGAAAAAATCTGGACCACAGTTGAGGAAAATGCTAGTTGACTAGCTCAGTCCCATTTCACATTATGGCAGGTCTTCAGGGAATAAAAACCTGAGGGGTTATTCTGGCCGAGTTATGAACAGATCTCAAACAGATGATACTAGGAGCAATTTGAGATGAGGACATTTTATGAAATAATTTACTATGGCCCAATTCAAATTTTTAATTCAGTCTAAAGTTATGGACTTCTTGGCCCTCCCTACTGTACCTGTATGAATCCTGGTGTCCACAACGCCTGTTTGTTGTGTTAAGACTGTACATGAAACCTAACAATTTTGAGTTCTATTTCTAACCTAATGGATAAATTGTCTTAGACCTCTCAAGTAGTATCTTGTAAGGGGGTCATTTTTACAGAAAGGACTCTAATTTTTATTGTTTTATTGTGATTACTGAGGCTTGTAATAATTTTGCTTTATACTTCCATGGCAACACAGAAATAGCAGACAACAATTTGAGAAAGTTTACAGCTAAATTTAGATATAAGTCCAAATGTGGATCTAAATTCGCATGTTTCTCAAAATGAAAGATTGTCCTGTTCTTGTGAAAAGGCTATTAGCTGGGTTTCACTATCCCCCTTAGGCATTCCTAACTTCCATGATGTCTAAGTGTTGAGACACAAAAGAAATATTTTCAAACTTTGTCCCACATGAATTTTCACTAAAGAAAAGGCTCTTACAATAACTTGTCACCAACGACCTTTCTGTCATCTTGGGAATTTTAAAGAAAAACAAAACTCCCAGGAAAGCCTGTGAAAGTAAAATAGATAGAAACAACAATTTATTGGAAATTCCCTTACATGATGCTATTTTAAAGACAGACAAGTCCTATATTTGGCATAGCAGAATCTTTACTGGAAAACTCTAGAAATGTATGAACAATCCCACCCACAACATTCCCACTCTTGTTTTGTGGAGGTGCTGCTGAAGAATAGCTGCATCACCACACAGAAATAAAACCCTGAACAATTTTATCATGTATAGCTGGGTAATATCTGCTACAAATTACAAGTTCTGGGTTTTCTTCTGTAAAGAGGGGACTGTAATATCTTACTTGAGAAGGGTGGTATGATTCACAATTAGATTCAAATTACAGAGTCAATCACACCATGAAGGAATAATGCTCTACTTTTAATGAGTAGAAAAAAATTGCATTGGGATCACATCACTAAAAGACAATCTGGTGTTTATTACATGTAACTGCTAGCCTTGCAATGTGTGAGGGATGCATGTGAATCACATCTGTGAAAGTTCTTCAGGTTGGATTCTTCTTCCTTGTCAACATTTTTGAACATGAATTTTATTGAATGCAGTCTACTCTGTTTGGAAGATTCTAAACAGAATGTTCCAGTTCAAGACAAAATCTTTATTGTCCCCTCTGCCAGGAAGAGAAATAGAGCTACTTCTGGGCAGAACTTCCTGAAGAGCACTGCAGGTATTATTCAGTGCTGCTTTGCCTCTGTCCTCATCAGGAAGCACCTGAAGGAGCTATTCCACCAGAATATGAGAGACTCCAAACATTAATATTCTCATTCCTTCACCAAATCACTGTTTCAGTCTGATAACAGCTGTCTGTATCTCTGTTGAGTTTTACTTGAAGGTGTATGGAACAAAAGGGAGGAAGTGTTGATTTAACTAATTTTTTCCTGCATCATCTTTGAACAAATGTTCTGCATATTTAGAGGGTACTAGGATATAAAGAGTTTTCTGATTTTGTATTCTCAAGAAGAAAAGTGCTATTATTACAATGCTATAATTAGAATTATCACAGTTGTAGCCCTTTATCATTAACCAGGAAGCCATTTCTCTTATGATATCTTTAAAGGACATTGTAGACCTTTTTCAGGAGGTTCCACACTCCAGGCAGTGCTTCTGTATAGTCAGAGCCATCTTGGCTTGCTCTCTCTTAAATCCAGCCTTTTCCTACTGTTAAGTGTTAGATATAATGAGGCAAAGGGAAGATCCTTTTTCACTGATCCTGTTGTTTTTTTTTTTCTCACAGTTCTTCAATGAATTTTTCCAGAAAAAAAATACAACTTTCTTAGAAATGCCTAAGAGAATTGTAGAAATACATTCTTACCAGTGCTTTTATACTGTAACATAAAAACGGTGATTTGGTAAATCAGTAGTTATTCAAAACTAGGTTAATCAGAATTCTTTTCCCCCATAAAAACATTGCAATCAAAAAGCATTTTTAGCACTTCCTCTCTACCATTCTAGCATCTTCTTTCTTTAGCTTAAAATGTTATTGTTTCCTTTGAGCACAGCCAAATGTGGTCTGTAAAATGCACATAAAACCAGTTTCTTACATGGTAAAATATTCTGACATCAGTGGATAAAAGATTACTATGGACCTGCTATTACTTGAACTTACTGCCTGGCTGATTGCATCCTCCCTTGTTCATCCCAGGAACTTTCCTCACAAAAGTTTTAACTAACATTTAAAACACACTTAATGGCTTTGTTAACAGAAGTATTTCATCTGACAGGATTTAGCCTGATTCAGTTTACCTACTGGCTGATGCACTTAAACCTCCTGTTCTCTGTACAGTCTGTGAGCCTACAATACCTCATTGTTTGGCTCCTTATAGGTGATAATGAAATTGGCATTCAGTTCCAATTCCTGAATGGTTTCCATGAGACTTTTTCAAAGTTGTTTGCTACTCCTGGTATTATATAACCATCTTAGTTTCAGCATGCATAAAGGCATGTTTCTGACAAATACCTTATCTCCAGGATTGTATTAATAACTAAACATGAGTCACACTGGGCATCAAACATGTTTGTGTTTATACATGATATACAGTTAGGACTTACTCTAAAAACCACAGTTAAATCTGTTAGCTAAATACATTGTCAACACATTACCCTGTATCTTGGGCAGCCCTTTATTTACTATGCAAGTGGCCCTGATACCCTTCTGTCCAAACACAAGTTAACATTACACTGGAAACTGAAGTGAGGATCACACACAAATTGTGTTGCCTCATAAAAACTAGCCTTTAAATTAAGGTTTTAAAACTGCAAAGCACTGAGCTTTAGGACCACAGTTCAGTGAAATACTGAATCACATGCTTAACCTTAACAACACCAGTAGTTCCATAGGTTTTAGTGAAATTAAGTGGTTTAATGCCTACCTCTACCAGTAGCAGTGTTTAGCAGCTTGCAAATTCAGTCACTAAAGGAAGCTTGTAAGCAAGTGATTGCTCACAGGGTCACTGATTCAGTGACCTTGAGTGCATATTTACTATAAGAATAACAAGTAACCACAACATAGGACTGTATGTGAGATGTTAGTAACAGACATTTTTTAAATGCAGCTTAGTCAGAACTGGAATATTCTGGTAAGGAAAATGAAAGGAATTTTGTCTCAGTAAACTAAAATAAAAGAAAAAAATGCTCTGTCAAACAACTTAAAATATAGATACATACTTAACTGAAAAATATAAGAGATAATCACAAATTTATGCTGCCCCTGTCAACAGAGAGGAGCCGTGTGTGGTCACAAAGCATTAACTGCAACTATCACAATGTTCTGGACAACCACATTGATACTTTATTGCTTTCTTCATTATATTTATAATGCAAAGCAGATCCTATGAACATAGTCACCCATGCAAAAATATCTTTGCCAGATATTTCTACAAAATTACACTTTCAGCAACTTTTTTTTTAATCTATTATGTTTGATACAGTATCTTACTAGGAAAAAGGGATATAGTGAGTCTCCTCTAACCAAGAAATAAAAAAATTGTTCATGGTTTTAGGTATCATCAGGCCTTCTCAAAAGGACCTTATGCTTTCATAGTTTTTTGTAGTTTCTTCTTTTATATTAATATGAAATTAGTAAATATGTCCCATGTATAAACTCGTGGCCTTTGAGGCTTATGACAGGGTTTTAGGACCAATAGCTTATCTCAGAAGAACCTCAGAAGGGACATTGCATGCACCTGAGATCTCCAGAAAACCAGTGGTTAGACCACCTGGCACCTAAATCCCATAGCTGAACTAAAGACATATTGAATGACAAGATTGCAGATGCATAGTCATGGTGGTGGCTGACAGCATTTCATTAATTATTAGGGTGAGAAAGCATTCATATGGGTTGTGGAAGATTTTGGATCAAATCACTCATGTCTGAAGTCAGTGTCTCAACTCTGATTTCACATCTGAATTCAGTCTCAGACTTGTGCCTAGATCATGGGCTACTACCTTTCAGGTATCCCTTCAGCAATCACTTAGGCCAAGTCTCTTTCATCCACCTCTGCTAAAACTCTTCTAATCTGTGAAGTAAAATAAGTAGATTTTAGCCAGGATGGGGAGCATAACTTGGGGCACTTCTCTTGCAGACAAGTCTCTAACTGGGCAGACAAGCCATTTCCTACACTCAATGAACATTTTAAATATCAAATAAAATCAATACCTTGAATAGCACACACTGGCATACGTGCGTGTGTGGTGTTTGCTGGGTATCAGGTCCCCATATGCTGCACGCCATGCCAAGAAAAGGGATGTCCCTGAGGGGCTGCAGCACATGGGCAGCCCACACTTGGCCATCGGAGCCCCTGAAGGGCTGCAGTGCACATGCAACCCACACAAGGGCAGGTGTACAAATTGAAAGAGCAGCAGAAGCACACCAAAACGGGCACACAATGCCAGCTTCCTGCACCACTCCTCATCTCACTGGAGGAATTTGTACTGACCAAGTATAACCCTGAATGAAAAATCAGAGAAATTGGGACTAGGAAGTGGGGAAGAGAGATGTTTGGCTGAATTTGAGACCGGGGAAGGATTTCCTCTGTTTAATTGTTAATTTTCTTCATATACAAAACATTTCTGTTTTTTTAGTTTCTGTTACTGGGCAATAAATTAAGTGCAAATTCCAGAAGTCTTTTTTTGCCCAGAGTGCCCCAATTCCTCCACAGTTGTAGGTCCAGTGCCAACCTATCTCCATGAAGCACCATCTAAGGAAAGGTGACCATCGAATTAACCATCATTAACATAGAAGAACTGATGAAATTATTCCTGTCTATATTTCTGAGCTGAGAAGTATTAGACTCAACATACCCTGTTGAGTCTAATACCCTGTTGAGTCTAATACCCTCTCAAAGACAGAGATGTATAAGGCATGTAGGCTTACTCTGGTGTTCATTTACAACAGGAAGATAAAAGGAGAGTGCTGCCAGAAACAGCTGTAAAGCAGGCAGGGCCACATTTATATATCCCACCTTCTCTTCCTAAATACTGAATTATTTTGGCTTTTCTTGGCCTATAAAATCAGTCAGACTTCTTGCTGAGATTCCCTAATTACAACTTTCTCAGCCAATTTTAACCTTTATTAGGCCCTACATTATCTTTGTAAAACGGGAGTCAGTTATGTTTATTAGTGTCCTGGGTTCAGCAGTAGCAGTCATGTTTTTTCCTTTGTGTTAACTGGTGCAGTGCTGTGTTTTGACTTCTAGTTTGAGAACAGCGTTGGTGAAGCCGATGTTGTCGGTTGTTGCTAAGTGATGTTTACCCTGACCAAGGACTCTGTGAGGCTCATGCTCTGCCAGGGAGGAGGGGAAGCTGTGAGGAAGCAGAGACGGGGCGCCTGACCCGGGCTAGCCGGGGAGGTATTCCATACCACAGCACGTCATGGCCGGGGTGGGGGGTAACTGGGAGTTCCCCGGAAGGACAGGAGCTTCCGGGTGGAACTCGTTTTCTTGGCCGGTGGTATCGTATTCTCTTCCCTTGTTATTTTCTCTTATCATTGTTTTAGCTGATAGTAGCGGTGGTGATTTGTTGCTGGACTGTTCTTGTCTCAACCCGTAGGAGTTGCACTCTCTCGATCCTCCTCCCCGTTCCTCCGGGAGCGGGGAAGGGGAGAGCCCCGGTGCAGGGGGGGGGGAGACGGACACGGACCTTGATTGTTGTCAGCTCGGCACCACTCACTGGGAGTGAGTGAACAAGTTACCTGACTGGGTTTAAACCACGACAATTAGTTAGGTACTGACAATCATGGCCTGGTTTGTTTCACACTGTAGCCAGTATTGCTTTTTAAAAAACCTTAGCATACCATGAAAATAATTAAAAAAAAAAAAAAAGAAAGAAAAGAAGGGAAAAAAAAAAGAAGAGAAAGAAGAGAAAGAAAAAAGAGAAAGAAAAGAGAGACAGAAAGTGAGACAACTAGAGACAGCGAGAGAAAGGAGAGAGCGAGAAAGGAAGGGAGGGAGTGAGGGAGGCAGGCACTCAGAAGAGAGGAAGGGAAGAAGGAAGGGAAGGAGGGAGAGAGGAAGGAAGGAAGGGAGGAAGGAAAGAAGAAAGAATTCAGACTAACGGCGTTTTTACATTGATAGGAAAGTTTAAAGTCATTGAGGGCAAACAGCGCCCACCTCTGAGGTTTTGGCTCCTTTTATGCGAATAAACAAACTTCTGCTATTGCATCTATATCTCAACAAAATCTGTAAGCAGCACAGTTTAAAAGCTCCTGTGAAATATAGCATGAAGTTGTGAAAAACAACACAATATTCCACTTGCAGTAATTTCAAGTGCAGACTTTAGAAGGCCAGCTGTATTAGAATAAACAAACTGGCTGAAACCTGTAATACCAAAACTATGTGAGATCTGACTGCACACACAGGTCATCTTAATGTGTATGAAAAATTCTTAGTACCTCAATGCAAACAATCTGCAATGAAAAATTATCAGTAAAAGCAATCCTCCAAATCTTGCTTGAGATTCCCTCTTTGCTGCCAATCAGTCTTCCTTGCTTCTTGTGCTGAAATACATAGTTCTTTAATAGATCTGAGACAAGGAAGAAAACAAAACTCTGTCTCTCACTGATTACATTTTCAAGCAGTCTTTCAGAAGTTTAATGCAAACACTGTATAAGCTCCCTCTGAACAGCTATAATCGTTACGTGCATGTGCAGCTATACATGTGCTTTTCTGTATCTTTGATGACTTCTAAGGAATAACTGTATCAAACTTTCATGATAGCCGCATGTTCCATCCTTGAATTTAAGCTCTCATTTTAATGCATAAGATGGCCAGGCAGTCAAAACTGCCTTAGCTTGGATTTGCTAATTAAAACCAGAGAGAATAACAGTCCTCTGAAGAAAATTTTATTTTATATAGAAATTCTGTTTCATTTAGGGGGCAATTTTAGCAATGTATCATCTCCTTAAAAATCCACAGCTCTGAAAGGCTCTGAGAACTATTTTAATGTCAGAAGTACTTCTACATTTAAAGCTCAATTATTTCTATTTTCTTATGCCAGACAAAACTTTTGGTAGTCAGTGGGAGTTCTGTACATCTGAAGTCACTTCTGAAAAAGAACACACAACCAGTTAAAGATATTCTGACAAGTAGATTTGAAATAGCATTTAAAACATTAATTGGAACTGTAAATAAAATTTTAGCTGTCTAAAATACAGTTTCTATAAACAGTAGAATGTTTCAAAAAAGCTGTTAGCATCCTTAGTGTTGAGAATTATAGCTTATGCCTTTCTGGCAACAATTAGTTCACAATTCCAGTTCACTCAAAGTAGTATTTTTGCTGGCCATGTGGCAAACACCACACTGAAGGCTCTATTTCAGAAGCCAGTATTCCAGGCTTTTCAACCACATCCATTTAAGCTGCCACCCTATCAAGACTTTCTTTTCCATCTCTTCAAATTTACATGGATCAATTTATCAAGCTATAAAACCCATGCAGTTTTATTACTTAACTTCTTTGTTCTCTGGTTTTATTTGACTAATACAGCTAGCCCTGCTTCCCGTAGGTAGGTGGCCCAGATGATCTGCTGTGGTCCTGTCCAAAGTAAATTAGTCTATGATTCAATAATTTTGTCTTCCCTGGATGAAAATTTGCATTAGAGACAAGATTCACTAAAATACTCCATATGCGTTCACAGTACATTTGTGAAAAATTTATCATTACATCATAAAACATAGTAGACATTCAATTTTGAAAACAACATTTCGTGTTGTAGTAAGTGCAGATGGTGAGTGTGCTGCAGATAATACTGGAGAGTACTTTTCTAATGATTTTGCTTGTAAGTAGCACTTTTTACCATTAATTGAATTGCATTTTCTAGTGGGTATTTATTTTTTCCATGATGATTACAAGAAATATCATAATTACTTATGGCATATACTATATATAACCTATAAATAGCTATCCAACCTGTTAAAAAGTCTCATATGTCTGAAACTGATTCTCTCCTACCAGTTGTTTGGGGGTGGAATGTCTCTGTAAAAGAATATAACAAACATCCCTGACTTTTAACTTTCTGACATCAGTTTTCCTCTGACATCAAATCATGGGGATTTAAAATACATAACACGTACATACAGCTACAGTGAAATAAACTCAGCAGATTGTGTAACAGTGCTTGGTTTTTATCTTGACTGATACATTTTTATTCCCGCTTCTTCAAAACTCCATCTACTGAAACATACCTTATTTCTTCTACAATAGGCAAGTTACCATCATCATGATGAATATTTAAAGTGAAGAAAAGGAAAATGACATAATGCTGCAGGAATAGTTTCATGTTGACTCGAAAACAGAACACTGACTTGACTACTTGAAGATGCTTCATAAATAAAACATTTCCCTTAGAAACACGTAAGGTTGCAACACACCAAGTCTCGGAATTCCCAGGAAATGTATTGCTAATGCCACGCAGTGACTAAGTTTTCTAAAAATGGTCTCAAAAGAATGAAGGTCAAAAGGAATAGAAAGAAGACGCAAATATACTATGTGGTTTGCCTTTCCTCATCAATCAATACAGATGTACAGGCCCTTGGCAGATACACACCCTTCCTTATATACCACCGTATCAAGACAAGTTATAGCTACATCAGTTTCCCACAGCCTTCCAATATCCTGTCCAACTTATAATCCTTGCAGTATATGACCTCTCAGGAAATTCTACTTGCCAAACACACTCACTCTTGCCCCCTCTTCTGTATTTTTCCTGGTTCTTCTGCCAGGAAACCCAGCAGCTGGATTTAGGGGGAGATCAGTTCAAATCTATCATTGTTTATAAGAACAAATAATGCTCTTTATATAGTCAAGAACAACCTCTTGTAGCTTCTCAGCCTTCTCCTAAAATTCTAAATTGCATTTCTCCTCAGTGAGGCCAACTTAACAAAACATGACCAAGTCAGGTCAATGATATTATAAGCCAAGAGCATGACAAGAATTTTAAAAAACATAAAACTGCATTGACATTTTAAAATGCTTAAATGTTTATTTTAAACTGGTGACTGACCAGATTTACCAGGGAAGTCTAAGA